GAGAGAGAGAGAGAGAGAGAGAGAGATAGGGAAACAGAGGCTGGAACAAAGAGGGAGAAAAGAGAGGAAGGTGAGGGGGGAGGGAGTTCAGTTCAGAGATCAAATGAGATTAACTGACATTTTGTGGCTTTTGAACAAAGAGTACATTACTAAATCAATATTGACCAAAGAATCCTTTTTACGAGTACAAATTTGTCATTCTTTTCTGAGCTATTCAAATTTACGAACACCTTTTGTTCCGGGCACTTTCATTGAAGACGTTTGATATTCTAGAACTTTTAGCTCCATCTGAGGTTTGCTTTTGTAATGGCTTTTATTATAAAGGCGAAATCTGTGGCAAAAGTACAGGAGACCAGTGGGAGACAGAAATGGAGTAGAGACGATACATAAAAATTAATAAGCATCAGGTAATAATTTATTGTGCGTTAAAAAATTCGTGGCGCAGTTTATTTTCAAATATCTCCTCAACTATCCAACATAAACTGTTCAGCTTTTGCACAGTGATTTATATCAATATTTCTTTAAGATCAATATTTTTGTAAACACATTTTAGCTCTATTCTACTTAAGGAATACTACTAAAATATTCCAGTGGGTGGTTTCAACAGATATTTAAAGGTTTAATCTATAGCTAGGACAATATCGCTTTAAATGCAAGTCCGTCATTTTTTTCTAATTGCGAGATTATGTTTATTGAACGCATGTTTTGAGAATTTTTAGTGCAAAAAGTGTTCGCTATACAATAGTTTCTTATAACTAGTTTTGCCACAAAAGTGTCATTGGTGAAGCTACGACGTAGGCCACATGCGCGCGCAAAATGTGTGTGAGAAGCAGGAAGTGCTGTGAACAATTCCATTTTTAGCGTGAAGGAGATCCGTACCATTTTATATAAATTTATGAAGAAAAGTTTTTAAATCTAGCCTCAGTTGTGGGAAAATATGATTAAGAGGGTAAAAGAGTCGGAGGAGAAAGGGGAAAGGAGGAGATGAAAGAGATACAGAAGGAGGGATGGGACACCATTGCCCTACGCCTGTCTGTTTGAAGTAGATCTATCCAAGGACTAAGGACACACAGGTAATGCCTTGTTATAGGTATCCAACTCACATGCCAGTTCTTAGACTTTTGAAAATGGATGCCTGTTCAGAGAGAGGGGGGGAGAGAGGGAGAGAGAGAGAGAGAGAGAGAGAGAGAGAGAGAGAGAAGGACGACGACAAGAAGAGGAGGAGGACGGGAACAGGAGGGAGGGAAGGACTAGGGTTATGACATCATAGCCTGCTAGTTTTATCAACTCCCAAACCAGCTGTCCGACTTCTTATCAAATTGTTTGGCACTTGAAAACTCGTCGCCCGTTATGTAAGTAAAGTGTTATACAAGAATGCAAGCGGCTCTGTTTCGAATCCCCAACTCAACGCGGCATTTCTGAACCAATTTGATCCGATTTGAATGCATGTGAGCTGAAACTATGATCTGCCTTACTTTTCTCTCCTTTTCTTTTTGTCTTTCGTGCTTAAAATAAACATGAACAATTTGTCTTGTTCTTGGCGTTCCTATTGGCTGTCTTTGATTTCGGTTTGTTGGTTTGTTTTAAATTCTTGTTTTGTTTTCTCGATCGTTTGTTGTTGTTGTTGTTGTTGCTTGTTTCATGTGCGCTTTGTTATTTTAAGGAAGTTTTGGGCGTGGAAGAGGTACCAGATGACTTCTGTTTTGCATGAGTACTACCACTCTCCTGGATACAATTGGAGCATTCCCGTCCGAAGGATAGCTCCAACCGTTGGGATAAGAGGATCAATTTGTGTCTTACGCGGTGGAATCAGGCGCTCGTCAATTTTTGGGTATGGGCAGATATTGGTATCATCTTAAAACGCGTTCGTTAGTCTTACTTTGGATGACCCCCCTCCCCCCCCCTTTCCACACATCTAGAAAAGATAAAGATATTTGCGGGTGGGGGTGGGGGTGGTTGTATTGTTTCAGGGGTAAATTTAGCAAAGAAATGGCCGCCAATTTTGGTGACTTCCAAAGCTCAAGAGCCCTTAGTAATTGAAAATGTACATATAATTTTGTGCCTTTAACCAACGTTGTTAATTAAAATCGACACAGAAATGTGTTTATAAATGGACATAACATGTGTTAGGCCAAAGAACAAAGAATTGCCAAAGTGGCGAGAAAATGCCGGTTTCTTCCATTTCATTTTTTTGATGAGCGCCTGATTTCACCACGATGCCTCACATTTCTTGTTAGTTGTGGCCCTCGGTCGATAGACTGAATCTGGAAGGAAGACAGAGAGGATTGTGGGGGATTAGCAGCACTGTTCCAGTGGGAAAATGCGTCATTTGAGTGCAAATAATGTTTTTGTCCCTGTTACCGATCCGGGAATACATATATGTTTTAGATTGGATTATAGACAGCCTTACACGTCCTTGGAGAAGGACTAATGACGACAGCCAGACTTGAAAATCCACTGCTTGTTGAGTATAAAGATTTGAAAATGAAAGGAAAGAGGGCAACTCTAGTATGACCTAGTTTTTTTTCGTTTCCCTTTTTTTGGTCTCTCTGTCTTACTTTCCCTTTTCGTGATGCAAAGGTCAGAGAAGAAACAACACTCGGTTGTGTGGTATATACAAAAAACCCACTGTTTTGCAACATTTCAAGAGCTATCAAAAGACTATTATTTTTCTTTTATACTGAAATCTTCTCTGTGCTTCAAAGATTTCATGAATTATCAACTAAAGCATTCGAGGGTTTCATGTCAAAGATCACACCAAGTCAACATAACTTCAGTCTTTGAACGTTGATAAATGCAACTCCCCAAAGGAAAACAATTTTTTAGTCTTCAAAACGTTGACCCCCCCCCCCCCCCCGCCCCCTTTTAATGTTACCACCGTGTCTTCAGGGCAATGAGAGGGGAATATTTACATTTTTAGAACTAGCCCGTTATGTATAGATATATATATATCTCAAAGAAATGTAACTGTGCGAAAGAGCGTATAGAAACGTAATTACTGTTTGGTTAAAGCTAATTCGAATGGAGTCTTTGGCAAATTTTCTGCACTGTTTCTTTTTTTTTTTTAATCGAAGCTCCTTGGATTTCATAGAAGTCATACCACACTGAAATAAAAGATTAATCTCATACCAATCTCAAATACAATAGAACAGAATGAGGTTTGTAGCGGTATAAAGAAGTTTATTATTCTTTTATTATTCATTTTGGCAGGAATGAGATGTAACAGAAAACATTCATCCAGTATTCTGCATAATTTTACGCTTGCAGGCATGCGCTTAACGTTTACACAGCCTAGTTGCTGAAACCATTTCGTTTGTATCAGAAGAGAGGGAAGCCAATATGTGCAGAGACAGACGCTTACTAAACTATTAGAATATAATCTCATCTATTTCGTTGATACTATTTTAATCTTTCAGAAGGCTATTCCTCCCACCAACTCTTCTTTCCACTCGTGGGTTTTGTCAAGTAGCTGACGTCACCAACGAACATCCGGAAGACACGGAAATTGGAGCCCTGACCCCCAGAGAAGTCCATCTTGTCATTCAGGTAGAGCTGCAGACGTTCTGTGGTGAACCAGAGGTAGCCTTTATCGTCCAGAGTGAAGCCGTCCGGCCATTGCATGGTCACGTCGTTAGAGGTCAGCTCTTGTATGGTGGCCATGTTGACCTCGCCTTCGGAGACATTTTGGGACTTGATGTCTTTGCTGCGTTGCCACCTGGGGAGGGGAAATTACAAATTGTTGACAGCAGGACAAGAAAAAAAAGCGATGTGTACTCAATGTGATGAAATTTAAGTCCACCAAAGACATAACTTTCATTTCAAGATAGTGGTCCATTCGTTTAATCGGGATGTTGATGTCGAATAAAGTAATGGTGGTGACTATCGACACACCTGCACACACGGACACACATGGATATACGTGCGCGCACACACACACACACACACACACACACACACACACACGCACGCATGCACGCACACACACACGCACACACAAACACACATACTCACACGCACGTACAAGCGTGCACATATTTACAATAAAGGGAAAAAAATGATTTGGGTTTAAAGCCCTTATCAACTACAACATATGCATACATACAGACATTATAATATATAAATAATATATTGCATACCCCCCCCCCCCGGCCAAGCACAAACATACACTTCTCAACCCCAGCGGTATACTGCATTTTAAAAGCTTAATGCTGCTTAATTACCCAAAAAATCTAACAAAGAGTATTATGCTTTACTTTTGGTCTGTTTAAAGTATAAACCACCAACCACAAAAGCGAATGTTGCAAAAGTGACAACATAAACATATAATAATGATAAAGAAATAGAGAAGGAAGGTGATAAGATAGCGTTGGAAGAGGGGAGTGAGAAGCAGGATTTTGTTGACAAATATTATTAATAAATGACATGGTTAAGATTGAATACACACACTTCTTGCGGGATCAGAAAACATATCAATGAAGGTAATAAAAGCAACGACTAATCATATAATTGTATCCTGCGGTACACTTAATATTGCTAAATATGCCAGTGTACCCGAAGAACAAGACAATAGCAAAGGCAATAAAAAGCAATTTTTTACATTGAAGGTTTAAAAGCAAACAGCACCAACAGCAGCTAGAACAGCTATTATAAAAACAGATATTCAAAAACATGCTACACCAAAATGTTTTCAACAGAAATGCATACTCACTCGGAAACAGCATTTTCTTGCATTACTCCGAAGTACAGATTTTTCTTCCCAACAACAATTGCGTCAGAGGACCCACCTTTGTCTCCAACATTCCTAACATATTCCTTAAAGTCTGCGGTTTTGTTTCGGAGGACTGACGTGGGAATCTGGTACAGGTTATTGTTGCCAATAACACAGTAGTAGACGTAATCGAAATTGGGAGACATTCCGATTCCGTTGATAGGAAAGTCCATGGTGTAGTTAACATCATTAATGGTCAAGATACCGTTTGGTGCCGGTGTCATTGTCGTGTCCTTGAAAGCCCATGACGTGTTCGTCTGAAAATCGAATACCACCAGATTCGCATCGCCAGTATCAGAAATATACGCGTACCGGACTTCCGATCCATCTGGCGTGACGTAATCTAACACGATGTCGTTCAAGAAGTTTGATGTGTTAGATACGACCGAGTCTGGGAAGTCGTGGCTTCTCACTACCCGCCCGTTGTCGTTGAGGTCCAAGACCACAATCTTAGCAGGGCAGAAATTCCCCGGGCTCGCCGAAATCACTCCAGCTCGCCCGGTGTCAATGATGTACATATAACCTGTATTCGGATCAATAGCCTTGCTCGTTGGAAGCTGGAGTGCGGAACATCTGCCCAGTTTTTGAAAGCTTAGATCGGGAAATGGTTGGAGCAATGCCTGTCCGTCTTTCACGACCACTTTATTGAGTCCTGAGGGAGTTCCCTTGACGTATTTGACTCTGGGCGCTGTGACGTAGACTTCATCTTTATATACCTGGACCCCAGCAATCTGGAAGAGAAATAAGACATCAAATAAGTTTGAATGTAAATAGGGAGACTGTGCATGTGGGAATGGGGTGGGTGCAGGGGGTGAGTACACCGTCCTCATCTTTATCAATCATAAATATTACAATGACATTTCGTGTCACAGTTACCCTGTTTACTCATAGTCTTTCTTCTTTGCACCATCGTGCTAGGTTTCAGGGTTAGCCGAATGATATTTTGTCAACTTGCAATGCAACTGACTTTACATACCATGGGACCGTTTTTTTTTCTCTGCTCCACATTCTACATTCTACATTTACTCATAATGAAACGTATCCCTTTCTATTTCCCACCTAATATGAAGGCCGGTCGACTCGAAATGAAATACTGAGAAGAAACATACCCCAAGCTTCAAAGCAAAATGCACCTACTACTGTCTGAAGGATTTTTCTAAAATGTGGCAATGTTGAATATTCAAAATTGAGAAAGAACAAAGGCTTTTTCAAATATTATTTTCGAGATATGATATATATTTATTTGACAGCTTTGAAACGAAAACAAAGTGAGAATGTCTGTACTCCCTCGCTTTGATCATCAGCCAAGAGGAAAAAAAACCCTTCATGTTCCAACCGACTGTTATACAGTAGCTGTGCCTCAGTTATGTATGAAAAAGTTAACGAACTTGAACAAGGTAGAGAAGGTGAGAGATATCCTAATTGGGGACTTCTTAGCCCAGTCGTCTGTTTTGGAAATTGTCTCTCAGTTTAAAAGGACAAATGGCATATCATGTGTTGAGCAAGGTTTTTTTTTAGAAGCTGTGGGGTCCGGATTTAATAAAAGAACTTAGTGTCCCTGTTTTTTTAATAGACGTACTGTAGCGTCACCTGGGCCAAACGATAAAATTCACTGTTAACTTTACATACCCAGGAAAGTGTCGGAACGGAAACCACTTACATATAGAAGTTTGGACAGAAAGTTTGTTTTCACATTTATTAATTTATCAATTTATTTATTTATTTATTTATTTATCTATTTATTTATTCATTTAATGTAATTTTGTTTGCGTTTGAAAGGCAAAGGCTTTGAAAAATCATTGAAAATTTAAGATACTCTAGCGCGCGGCACCTTGCTTGAGGTCACACATTTTTTGCTCCTGTCCATTAGGGCTAACGTCGACCCCGAAGTCTGGAAGAATACCAAATAGCATAAAAGACCTACCCAATTTGTATTTGGGATGAATTCGCCGTATTCAAGAAAGATCTCCTCCACGCCTTTAGGAAAGTCATACTTCAAAGTTGTCCACTCATACATCAGTTCAGCAATTGGGGGGTCTGTGCTGTTCAGGAGTGCTCCGATGCCATCGCCAGTACCAAACAGAGCGCTGTTGTCACCATTTCCCAGAATTCTATCTATCAGCTCGTTATACCAGTCCCAGAACAGAATTCTGCTCCTATTCTGTCCCACGCCGCTCTCTGCGTATGCCTTCCATCTGTCTGCCACTGAGCCGTGACAACAGGACATGACACACGCAAATAGAGCTATACGTAACAGGCTACCCGCCATGCCTAATGTAGTTAGAGGAGGTTTCAAAAATCCGACTGCTATACTACTGGGTCTTTGCCGATTCTTTTCGGATTAGATTTATAGCTGTTTCAGAATTATTTTTAGTTTCAGCGTCCGATGTTTCACAAGAACTGAAGTTCACTTTGAGCACCACGGTATGTGGGCTCTGTCCTTTCTATGATAAAATCACTTTGTGTCTTTCCTCCTCTGAAGTGATTTTGTATTAAGGTTTCGTGTCACTTAAATAGGCGACACTCCTCGAGAAATATCATAGGGATCAGTACAAATTAACACGTGGTGTCCTTTTAAAACCCAATCCCTCCCCAGATCCATTCACCTTACAATCTTACCCAGCCGCCCCCACCCATTCACCTCAACAAGAAAAAAAAAGAAGAAGAAAAAACAACTACTCAGTTTCACTCCTTGTTATTCTAGTCTGTTCCATCTCCACTTCTCTCTCTTCCTCAAACAAACGCAAGTGGACAAAAGTACGCTCCCACTACCCCGCACACATACAAATTATATACTCTTACTGTATGCACAGATGATCACGTACTCACGTTACACAAGAGTGTGTGCTCAAATATGAGAGTGCTCATATAAGCCATACTTACAAAAGAAAGAACAAGCTCTTTTATTCTGTTCACGCCTCATCCCTGCGTAAGAAGACACTAGCGTTTGTGAGCAAATACTTGACACACCGGTTCAACAGCAGCTGTTCACAAGAGGTTCAAGGCCGTGAGCAGTATTAGATTTGCTAAGTTGAATAAAGAATTGAATGGTGATTTCTGGTAAATGTCTTTTAGAAAACCCCTGACAAAAGAATGTTCACAAAGTTGAATAAAGAATAATGAGTGGTAATTTTCCACAGTTTTCTGAAAATGTCTCACAAATCTCTGAAAACACATTACTGTATTAAGGGTTGTAATCTACTGTAGATAAAACGGTACTGATAAATAACAAAAAGTGATAGTGAGACTGGTGCAATGATCTTCAAGAAAGAAGATGGTGAACCGAGTACTCGCATCATGACGACTTTCTGTGGATCTATGTTGCGTTCACATTCCTTTGTGAGAGTGCATTATTGAAAGGCGCGACCAGAAAAAAACAACAATTATGATCATCTGAAACAGAGATTACGAAACTATTTTCAAAGTGGGCCGGATAACTATGAGAATGCTGCTCTTGGGCAAGCTAGCTTTGTTTCTATACAATACACTGGATACATAGAACCCGAAGACACCCAACCTATTGAATTATCAGTGCACATAAAACAACTGTTACAAAGAGTAACGATAACAAATATTACAATGACATTGCATATTTGTGGAATCCTCGTATGTAGGTGACAGGTTATAATCCGGGGCTTCACATTTGTGGTAAGAAAAGTGCTAAAGGGGGGAAAAGTTCACATTAAAGCCGAACAAGCGTGTGATACAATACATTATTATTAAAGCACATTCAATTTGCATTATATAACGTTCAATAAGGTGATTAAATCAATTTGTTGATTAAAATAACCCGAGCACGCTACAAACACACGAACACACAATATCTTCCAAGTTTTTTTCCCCCATGAGTAGAGACATCGTGGCAGACCGGAAGAACTGACCCCTCGGGCTGTAGTTTGGTGACCCAGGGTGACCTCTGACCTATATATTATACTCGTTCAAGTGCACTAGATACGAGAGCACTATGGCTCTTACAAATAGCTACAGGTCCACTTAAATATGCCTGAAAAAGACAACCTCACAATTAAGAGGATTACATGTCACACATAAATTCACAGCAAATTTGTTCTCAGGAAACTTTTGATAATAAACAGACCAAACTGTTCAAGACAGCCGCCATCATTGATGAGAGAAGTCGGGGGGAGGGGGGGGCTGTGTTTTTTGTTGCTTTTTTTTTGGGGGGGGGGGATAGCGTAGCCATCTTGGACAGGTTTCTGCTTTAGGTTGATATAATATAGTGGTTACAGTTGCGATAGACGGGTTTTCGTATTGAGCAGTGCCATTAGATAGAAACAAAGGGGGGGGGGGGGAGGGAAATGGTCGTTTGTACAGCTGATTGACTTGGACGGGAAATGGTCGTTTCTACAGCTGATTGTCTTGGACAGGTGGCTGCCTGCCGAGGTTCGACTGTAGTTGTTCTGAGGCGAAAAGATCCGTCGTCCATGATCATAGATGAGCGTCGGTGGCCTTGTGCTTAGGCTCTCGAACTCGCAACCGTAAGGTCTTGGGTTCAAATCCCATCTGTGGCCCGAGGTTGTATCCTTGGGGAAAGGCACTTTGCACCAATTTTCCTCACCTCACCGAGTTGAGAAATTGTGTACTCAGCTATAGACAGCGAAAGATCTTGTCAGCTTGTTGGCGCTTAAGCGCTTAATCAGCTGTATGCACTGTATGCTTCCCGGGAAGCCGAGAATGTTCCTGGAGTGTTGTAGGGTCCGCTGGGGGTAATAATTATAGTGTAATGGGCACAGAGCTTTGTCGAGCGGGGGTATGTGCTATACAAATGCTATTTCTTATATTATCATTATTATTATTATTATTATTATTATTAATATTATTATTATTATTACTATTATTATTATTATTAATAATATTATTATTATTACTATTATTACTATATTATTATTATCATTATTATTATTATTTTTATGAGTGCAAATGTGTTGAGCTGCATCGACCGGATTTACGTTGTAGATTATTACTTATACCAGAGAAGCTTCTTCGACCCCGTCTGTCAGGACCAACGCAGGCACGGAGGGATTCAGCATGTTGCAAAAATATGAAAATATTTATTCGAAAAAAACAACCAAAAAAAACCACAAACTCATCCCCATTTTGGGAATCTAACTCAGGTTTTGTTTCTTGATTTTTTTTCTTTGCATGTGCCCATAACTGAGAGAAATCTACCATCATGACTAATTCATGACATACACCGTTGTGCTCGCGATACGTGTGTAAAAGCACTGCATAGTGAAGTTATTGTTTGGCTGGCCTGGTTAATCACTGACGGTCTAGGCGGCTGCTACGATTGTCGTTGGTTTATAAAAATGAACTTAAGCTAGTCAGTATGGCATTTTAGAAAATGAACCACAACTTTTTATCGCATTTTTAGCATTTAATCCATGAGTGATCTGCGCCAGGTGGATTGGCACCTTAACACGCGCCAATCCACATGGCATGATACAAATGTTGGCATATTACTAATGTTAGGCTTATGAAATTAATTCTAAATATCCAATCAAAAATTATGGTTTAATTTATTTATATATGACGTGGGGTTGTCTTGAGAAAGAAAAATGTACCGGCACTCTTGTATTGCTTTGTTTTTGTATTCTTGTAAGACCGGGATAGGGGGCTCTCGAGGCCTAGAGGTTAAGATTTTCGCCTCTCATTCAAAGGTCCCGGGTTCGAATCCGGGTAGCGACGGAAAAAAGCTTTCTTCTCTAAAATTGTCTCCTTTCACATCCTTTCCTGCTCTCTAACAATGTTCTGTCGTCTGATTTGGTTTCCGCTTTCTGCTCCTACCTCCTCACCTCCTTTGCCCCCACCTCTGGGCTCCTGGCTTTCTCTGCAGTCTTTCTACTGCTTCTCCTTGGCTCCTTCTTTCTGATGTCTTCCAGCCATACAACTGATCTTCTGGTTGGAAAGATCTACACCTAGCCTTCTCGGACAAGGGCGAAAAATCTCGGATGTCCCGTGTGCAAGTTGCGCTCGTTAAAGATCCCTTGGTGGTCCACAATCGATAAGAGTAGGCATCAGGCGTCACCCAGAGAAAATTCAAAATTTCCTACCAACTGAAAATGTTTAGTTTGCCCCTCGAGCTCAGATGACCTTATACAGTTGCGAGCGCCGTAAAACACTTACAACAAAAAAAAAGACGGGATGGTCAGCATCACGATGACGTGTTCTGTAAAGTCACAAAAGATGAGAGGCCGAGACAGGAAGCGAAGCTCATCTTGGAGTCTGCTGTACTTTCAGTAATAATGACATTATGTCAACAGCAGATATAAATAAATTCAAGCAGTATTGCTTATACGTATTTACATTTAGTTTTTAATAAAACAAAACAAGAACTATTAATGGAGAATTTATTCTTGTTAAAAGGCGCGCTGTTAGTTTATTAGTCACTATCAGTGTAGTTTTAACTCAAAAATCTATAATGTTACGCATTTCTCCCCCCATTGAAACTAACATGGAAACAAAAAGCACGTATAGACCTCACATTTCATGTTGGTTTTATGATGCTAGGCTAAGAACTAATAAAGTTATGAGCAGAGAAAGAGGAAAAACCGGGATTTTAGCGGAAATCCCCACTCGCCGGGCGAGCGTGAAGCCCCCTATTAATCATTATGACATTAAATAAAACAAAAACAATATAGTTTTTGTATTCTAAGAACTTAATCCCAGAGCGACCTATTGTAGGTGGATTTACTTATTAGCACAACTCGTCAATCCACCTGGCATATTATTAATATCACTCATGCAGTTAATTGCAAGCATCCGATCATAATGTTAAATGTCTAATGCATGTATTTGACTTTGGGCTCGCTTGAAAAAAAATGTACACGTAGTTTTCTACCTATTTTTTAATTTCTATTTTGTGATATAAGATCAAGGAATGTCAGCATCATGGTGACGTGTTCTCAAGTCACAAAAGTTGAGAAGCCAGGACAGAAAGTGAAGCCTATTTTGGAGTCTGCCGTACTTTAAGTAATAATACTATGTCAACAGTAGATGCAAGTCTGGGCAGTTTTGCTAATAGGCTTATGTATTTACATTAAATCCCACCCCCCAAAAAACCCCATCAGTCAATGGAGAATTAAGATCTTTTTGAAAGGTGTGTGTGTGTGTGTGTGTGTATGTGTGTGTGTGTGTGTGTGTGGTATATGTGTGTGTATGTGTGTGTGGTGTGAGTGTGTGTGTGGTGTGAGTGAGTGTGTGTGTGTGTGTGTGTGTGTGTGTGTGTGTGTGTGTGTGTGTGTTTAAGTTTTCTTAAACAAATGTATACTTGTTTGAAGGTAAACACTGTCTGCGTGCTTTAGATGAGGGTCATCTATCTTGTGTGATCTACATTTTGGTGACATATATTATGCAGGTTGAAAAAAACTCATACCGGAGAAGTATGAGTAAGAATAGAGGTCCAGAAAGCAGGGCAATGTGGTGGTGTAAAGGTGGCATATGCGGTCACAAACTTGTGCTATACCTGAAAACTCATTTACCACGTTTATTATTATTTCTATTGTTCTTTTGTTGCAGTTGCTGTTCTTCTTCTTCTTCTTCTTCTTCTTCTTCTTCTTCTTCTTCTTCTTCTTCTTCTTCTTCTTCTTCTTCTTCTTCTTCTTCTTCTTCTTCTTCTTATTATTATTATTATTATTATCATTATTATTATTATTATTCTCACAGATAACTGTTTTCAAGAACAGTGATCTGGTGTATCCTATACATATAGCCAGGTGTATCCTCTAGTTATACCCAGACA